ATCATTTTTATTATAACCCCAAAACCCCAAAACCCCAAAACCCCACAGTCTAAAATACATCAGTTAATCAAGATTAATGAAAGCTTGCAAAGATCATATTTAATTTGGTTGTGAATATGAAATTATAGAATATTTAGGAGGTTTTCAAGTTATAATAAAAATGATAATGCAGAGCATTAAGAACAAGAGCATAAATGCTAATTTCATAAAGCTGGATCAAATGCTAACCAAAGAACTACCTTAGCTAAAAGCAAAGGTCGGAGAGTAACCTCGCCATAAATCGTCTTTATCGCAAGGTAGAGTAAGTCATTAGCTTATATAGTTGAGATTTATAAAACATATTTAGAGCGATGGTAGAATAAGCGCAAGAATAAGACATGATTCAGACAACTCTCAGACTATTAGTGCTTAGACCAGCATCAGGTACCCAAGTCCATTTCAATCTCCAGACAAGCAGAGACTTAAACTTGAACCACCACAGTCAAAAAGAGAGAGTAGAGCTATACTGATAAAAACAGTTCGTAAAAGCTCATCAAATCAATAACTGAACAGCAAAAAGAAAAACCAAAAACAGGTAAAAGGCAAGAAAGGTAGTCCTAGAAGGTAGTCACCAAGATAGCTCTCAGCTGCAGAGATGTTTCCTTAGTACTATCCCCAAAAAAGATATGATCCGATAACTGGAATACTTTTGAAACCAAAGAGAAGGTCTTTTAAATCAAACAAAGGAGAACTGAAGATCCAGGATTTGGAGGACAGAGCAAGCATCATTCAAAATTTGAAGAAAACAGAGCTTAGCTCAGAATCTAAAAAGCACTAGCCTATTGTTTCTCTAAATGCCAAGTTCTTGCATTAATTGATGACCAAAACTGGTGCAGTTCAACCAGCTGCTTCAAGTGTTTTAGTACAGAGTTCAGCAAATCCAGCTAATCATTTATATAAGACAATACCCTATTCCAGCCAGCACTATAGAACTTCATAGCAACAGCATTAGCAGCAAATACCAAGCACGCATTCTTAGTCAGATTTCCATGCGTCAGAGAAGTTTAAGACTCAGTCAATGATAAACAACTTCCAGGCGATGCAAGACAAGTTAAAGATATCGCTAAACGGCTTCAAAGACAGACTAAATCTGAGTAATAACTCTAGAGAGCTTCTTAAGAATAATAAAAATCTTACTAACTCGATGCATAACTTAGCAGTCAGAAGCAGCAAGAATGAAAACAGTGTGAAGTTTGCCTTTTCTCCTTAGGGAAGAAAACTTGCCACTGATAATAGCTAAAATTCGTTGCAGATTACAGACCTCAAAGATTCTAAGAATATGATGTCTACTTAGCAAGACTCGCGATCAATTGCTTAATCAAGTAAAATGCAGCAGAGACCTATGTCTGCTAATGTAGGGATTAAAAAGGCATCTAGCCAGCCCAGACTTCAAAGTGCTCTATAAAGAGTGCAAAGTGGCGCTTTAAATCATAATAACAAGCAGCAAATTGATTCAATATCTAACAAGGACATCCGAAATGCTATGCAGAGACCTATGACTGCCTCATTAAACAATCAACATAAGCAAAAAATAGGATAGATGGTTAAGCAAGAGACAAGAACCAGATCAATTTAAGGAGGATTCGGCAGTCACACATAAAACGATAACATCTCAATGTTCGATGAAAATGGAATGAATAACAGTTTTAATGCACCAACTTAGTCAGTCATTGTGAGTTTACTCTAACTGCCCACTGCCCAGAGATTAAAGCTTCAACAGTATGCCAGGAAATCAGTGAATCAGTTTAACATTGCAACTAAAGGAGATGAAACTCAGTATATTTGCACTTTCAGTCCTCAAGAAATAAGAATGATCTTTGATGCCAGAAATTTAGATCTAGGGTTGCCTTACAAGGATTATCAGTTTGAGAAATTCAAGGAAAATGTTGAAAAGTTCTGCATTAACAGGAGAGTAGACTTATCTGATGTAAGTATATCATAGCATACTTAAATTTATTGTAGATGGGGCTTGGAGTCAACTTTTCAAATGTAATGGCTCATTTCCTCAGATAAGGCAAGGAATTCTCGCATCTAGACCTCAGCAGGAATAAACTTAGGGACGATGGAGTGAAGATACTCTCAAAGTATCTAGTAGCCAACAGATCTATCATTCATCTAGACCTATCTCAGAATGAAATTACTCATAAGGGCTCATAAGAATTGTTCCTGTAGCTTGCTTCAAATGTCTCAATTATATCGCTTGATGTTGGCTCTTATGACGGTCAAGGAAGAAATAGAATCGGGAGTAAGGGCTTAATAAAGCTGCAACAACTCCTTATTATGCCAAATACTATGCTTTCACATATATTTCTTGCCGGCAACTATATTGGTAACCAGGGTCTTCAGCTCCTAGCTAGTGGACTTAAGACTAATGACAGAGTAATGGCTTTGGATTTAAGTAACAATGAAATCACTGGATGCTAAGGTGCAGATGGATTATATGAAATTCTTACCAATGAGTCCAACTAGATCCTTGAGTTAATTATTTCTAAGAATCCTCTTGGCAACAATGGGGTTGAAAAATTCTCAGGGGCCCTAAGGCATGATAAATGCAAACTTAGTTGCCTGATAATGACCTAGTGCGATTTCAATTAGCTTGGAGCAAGACTGCTTTATTTGGCAGTGAGGATTTGCCACAGTCTGTAGACATTTGTGATTGATAAAAATAAACTGAATGGGCCAAGTGTAAGTGTGATCCAATAAATGCTTTGGATAAACACTTCAATAAGATCTCTAAGTATGGCTTATTGTCTGCTTAGAGATGATGGCTTAACTGCAATATGTGATGGGCTTGAAAGAAATTAATCGATCTAGACTTTGATCTTAAATAACAATCAGATCACAGATGCTTCAATAAAGAACCTCTCAAAGAGAATAAAATCAAGTAAACTCTATCTAAAAGTGCTGGACTTGAGTTATAACTATATAACAAATAAAAGTGGAGTTGGCTTGATGGAAAGCTTAGCAAGAAATGACAGCATACAAACCTTGATCATAAATAACAACTCTTTGGCTGATGAGTCAGCTTAAGAACTAATTCAAACCCTAAAGAAGAACAAAAACATCAGGAAGCTATCTCTGAATCATAACGGAATCAATCTACGATTCATAGAGGAAATAGCAGAATTAGTAAATAAAAATGAACTGCTAGCAGTGGAGAGGGTCCTACCTGATTTTCAATCAGAAATTTAATTGATGTATAACGATCTTAGAGAGTTTGATTAAACCACCAAAGATCTAATGAATGTTTTCATCAATAAGGCAGCAACTATCAATAGAGTAAAGACTAAGGAACAAGAGTACGAGATTGAGAAGAAAACGAATGAAAAGAAATATCAGCATCTGCAACTTGAGTACTAGGGGTTGCAGTAGAAATTCAGAAACATTGAAAATATGAATGAAGAATTCGATAGAAGGGAGAGGGATAAAGAACGGTACTTTGAAAACAAGGAGCGAGAACTCAAGGTTTTCATTAATAACACAATAAAGGACAGTAAAAACATAGAGGAGGATATTGATTACTACAAGAACGAGCTGCACGTAAAGAGAGAAAACTATACTTTGCGAAAGGGAGACCTTGAAAATGAGTTGGCTGAGATACTTAAGAGACAGGAAATGGAGAGAAGAAGTTATTTTACACTATAGGGCGCTTTAGATTCATTGAAGAAAGATTAAGAGACAGCGAAAAATCTGAATACAGTTACAAGCAAGAAGAGTGATGCCAATTTAGAATAGTAGCTAATCAGAAGGTAATCTTTAGTAAGGCAAAATGTCAATCAGAACGCGCTGAGCACTGAATAGAGTGAGGATAAACGGTCTTTATCAGCAAATAAATTAGATCAGCCTAAAAAGCTGAAAGTAAAGTCTAAAAAGAAGTAGAATAAGAAATGAATTAGCTAAGCCAAGATATATCTATAGTACAAAAGCAAGTTAAAACGTTTTAATTTCATGACTAAATACTTTATTAAGATCATAATTAGATTCACGGGGTTTTGGGGTTTTGGGGTTTTGGGG